AAATATGTCCTTGTTTCTTTGGTTCTAAAAATACATTTGGAAAGACAGCCAAAAATAGATGCTTCCATGCTGACAGGTGGAACCAGAAATGGAATTTTGTGTAATGTGATAATTCAAATGTCTACAAGGTGGACTTGCTGTGTGAGAAAAATACTTTATAAAGGGTTGAACATATGTTGAAAAAAAATATTATCTGAAATAATTCTGCATCTGTGTTTGGGAGTAATTTTCCTTTTTGTTCAATCACACAAAAGATGGCAAAGAAAGCTTCTAGTGGAATTTTGGGGCTTTTAGTCTGTAAGGAGGTGGAACTGGACTGTTCACAGGTTATTTTGCTAGGCAACTCTGATGTTCTACTTCTTTTTTGTTTGGCTTGATTGGGAATGAATCATCAGTTTCTGCATCATTTCAGGGTGTGAAACCTCGTGTGCAGCTCTTGCTTGTCTGTCTCCTGCCAGCCCCCATGTCTCAGACTGGCTAAGCTGAGCTCAGGCAAAGCGGGGATGATGAGTTACTGCTGCAGAGCCTTGGGACAGTCTGTTCTGTGCTTATTGCCAATTCCAAAGAGAAACTGAGAGTGTCTGTGTTTGTAGCTGAAATAATGAACACATGTTAGAATCAAGGGGTAGTGAGGGCTTGGCTTCCCAGCCAGGGCTACTTCAGACCATATGCTGCCCTTAAGGATTGCTCTGAGTAATTGTCTCTGATGAACATTGGCATCAGTGTGACAATGGAGAAACTGCATTACCTTGTTGTACCCAAAGCTGGGTGTGTGGAGAAGTTGCTCAGTGCTCTGTCTGAGCAAGCTCTTTCTGTGTTGTTGTAACACTCATAAAATGGCACTTTTCTTTCATTTTCTTCTACAAAAATAACCTTGGAAATGCCAGCATCAAGAATGGCAACATGTTTCATGGCAGGATGAGTGAAAGATCACACAGTCATTTCACAGAAGTTCTACTGAGTTGTGTTAACTTCCTCTGCATGCCCTTAGCACCCCCAACTGGAGAGAAGTGTTGGAAATTGGAATGGTTATGGATGACAAGCATCAGTGCCTTGGTAAAAAAGTATAACTCAAGTCCTGGTGATTTCAAATTAGAGAAGGGGACAAGGAAGTATTGTGAGTCTTGTTACAATTGATGCAATGTTAAATTCCAGTGAGTTCTCCCCATGTGCTGTGGTTCTAAGCCTCACCAAATCACAATGGTGACTGTACTGTGTTATGAACACTTTCTTTTTGTAGTAAATCCTGACTTGCACGAGAGAAAAATTCAGTGGGAACAACAGGATGGAGAGGAACTTTTCTATTTAAAGTCCAAGCTTCAGTATAATTTTGCATTAAGTCTCCATCACTCCTTGTGTTTCACCTCTGCTCTTCTGCACTGTTGCCTTTTGTAGCTGGAAAGGGAGGGGAAAGAAAGGACAATCAAACGGGCACAACAAAGCTCTGGAAATGAGGCTGAAAGCATTTAAAGGAATGCCTATCTTTGCAGTGTGCTGCTGATAACCATGCTCTGTGTAATCATGTGTTCTGCACATGCACACACAACTTTTAAATGTTAGCTACTCTGTAATGCTGATGGGCACATAAATAACTGCTCATGCTTCTGCTCCAATCTGGAAATGTCAAATAGCTGAACGTTAAAATAAAATATTTTAAATTTGGAATGCTCTTGTCACAATATTGACCTTTTATTTGCTCAGCACTATGATCAGGGTGTACCACAAGACAAATGGTCTTTTGTTATGTAAATAAGTGTAGAGTCAATAATTACAAACTGTTTCCTATCCTTCTTTCCTCCCTTCCTTTAATAAGATGTTGCCATTGAAGGAGGGGATTTTATTTTGCCTCCATGGTGCAGAAACTTAAATGCCAGGCAGTCTTATTGAAGGGCTTGGTGAAGAACTGAAATGCCATTTTGCTTAATTTTTCAGTGTGGATTCTTATTATTAGCTATTAATATAGAGAAAAAGCTTGCCTTAGTAATACATGGTACTAAAGGGACTCTAATTTTGTATGCATTTTTGCTAGACAGGAGCAAATTATTTAAATAAACATTTGCTTTGAGGTGAAAAAAACTTCTTAAAATAGAAATAGCTATACCACCCAGATAATAATCCAAGACAAATGTGCTACTGATAGAGGGTGAAAGGATGAATAGCTGAGAATCTGTTCTGTGGTTACAGATGAGGCTGTCCAAAAGAGAATATAATACAAAATGATACATTCTAGGAAGGTTTATTAATGTTGCAGTGGTGAACTCTTGCTTTTTACTGTCAAGTTTCATAGAGGAGAGCCAAGAAAATGACAGACATTGATGGAGCTGGATGTACCCAGGGGAGCACATCCAAGCCACGCCAGGACTCTGCTGTGCTCCAGAGCTCTCCCATGGGACAGTCTTTGGGAATCTGAGGCTCTTTCTCCTTGTGAGGAATTGGCCATTCAGCCCGTTATTATTTTACAGTAAAACTTTTACACAGATCACACTGAGGAACTCTTCCCCAGCCTTCACAGCTGGACTGTTGCATAAATGTAGGCTATAACCCCAACTCTTCTTTCAGTTCTTGTTTCCATGGCTTAGATTGCAAGAGATGGGAACAGCCAAGTTTTTACACTGAAAGGGATAAAGAAAACCTGAGTGGCATGGACAAAACAGGGAATAGCTGTTTGGTGGGAGGAATTACATTGTAATGTACCTGTAGGTTGTGGGTTCACTTAAAGAAAAAGAGTTTTCTCAACAATGAGAAAAGCCTGTTTTGTTTCTACTTTCCATTCACACTACTTCTGTAGGCACTGGTCTTTCCTAACAAAATATAAGATGTCCATTATCTGAAGGTATTGCAGTTCTGTAGAAATACAGAGTGGATATTGGCAAACCATGGCTGAAATTCTGTTGCAGATGAAGAAAATCAATATGAAGTTTGTTTCCTGAGTCACAAGAAAATCTGGAAATGAATTCTTATGAAGGTCTTGGTTACTAAGCAGTTATGAAATAGTCAGGGAGGCAGATGTCTGTCAAGTAATTGGTGAATGCTATACATTCAGTAAGCATCTATTTTGTGGAGAAAGTTTTAAATTACATTTCATGATAACAGTTGTTAAAGGTTCATGGAAACAGCATGGGTAATTTTACACACATTGATTGGAAAGCATAGTTGCGGAAGCAATAGATGAACATAATTTCCTTTTCCAAGGGAAAGGGTTGCTGCAGTGAGATAAGAGGTTACAATTATAATGACAAGCAATTGAGATGATCTGAAGAGAATCTATTCAAAGTTAAACATTTCTGAAGTTCCTGTATTTTCCATCCATGAGATGTGGAAGTGCTTTGTGGGCTTGCCTTTCCTCCATAGTTAGCAGCAGGTTACATTGCTTCTGCTTGATAAGCCAGTAGTTATTAGTATGGTGCTAAATTTGCCCTTGTACCAAATGACCCAAAGGAGAAAAGCTGTCTGTTTGATTACAATAATAATAGCTTTTAACAATTGGATATACTTAGCTAGATGTTAATTTATCCACTTACAACCTTCTGCAAAAAGAGTTTGTGAATGTTATAAAAGACTGGAGAGAACTGCAGGCAAAAATTAGAAGACAGCTGGTGAATTAAGGGTTATGAACTGCCAAGTTCTATTGAAGGAAAACTAAATTTCCAAGAAGGTCTCTCTCAGTGTTAAGCATTAAAAAAAAAATCTGCCAGGTTTATCTGAGGATGGAGTTGTGAGCCATCACTTTATTACAGTTACTTGTTTGTTCTCTTGATATCCTTAGGGCTGAAGAGTGGAAAGATACCTGGAGGGTGTCCATGATCATGAAATCAATAATTAGAAACTTTAAGGAAAAAAGGTTCTGTGTCCAATAATCTCCCAAGAAAACAAATTTTTACATTTTTGACTTTACAATGGCTGTTTCTGAACCTCCTTTTCTTTGTGCTGTGTCCCTGCCCATAGAAGGCAGGCTGGATCCCTGAGGTCCCTTCCATTCCAGGCCATTCTGTGAGTCTCTGAGTCAGGCTCCCAACTTTCCTAAACAGGATTAATAACAATGCATGTTTTAAAACAGTCTCTGGTTAGTAGAGGATGGCAGCATTTTTCCATTTACAGGTCTAAACTGCCTCAGTCAGCACTGAGTCCCCAGGGAAGGCAAAAGCAGGGCTAAGCAGAGGAGCTGCAGCAGAGCAGGGAAAGGGATGCTCCCACTTCAGAGCAGGCTCTGCTGTGGTGAGTTCCCCACTGACTGAGTCCCTGAAAATGGCTGATAACAGCTGCTACAGGAGACACTGAAATTCTGGGTTACATGCTAAAGCTTTATGAATTTAAACCTTTTTGAATTTGATATGACCTGGTGGTGCTCACTGTATCCGGTGTGCTGATGGACTGAAAATCTGGCCCCTCACTGAGGTTTGATCAGTGTTGTGATTTCAACTGCCAGGCCAAGGCTCTCCTATGCTCAGTCTGCACAAGAACATGGGACTATGATGGGCATAAAATATCTGCAAATGATATTGTACTAAGAAATGCTGGTCTCATCCTCTGTGTGGTGTGTGTACAGTTATAGACAATTTCTAGCTATGACCTTACTCTCAGTGTCTCCCGAACAACAACAAAAAAAAATGCATGGGCAGATATTGGCTAAAGCATTTGGAAAAGCACTGCCCCTTTTGTAAGCATTGTTTTTTCCAAGGCATTGATCCATAAATTTACTTATTCTGAGAAATGAGACTTTTATTTTGATGGAACACTTCCAGTATATATCTACTCCACCAGAGCTAATGGTAACATTCTTACTGGCTTCAGTGAATTCAGGATTTAAGTGCAAGCTGCATCCTACAGCTCTCATTTGCTTCCTTAAAACTGCAGTTCACCATGTGAAAACAAGGCTAAGGCTCTGAAAGAGTGATGTCTACTGAGAGTAAAAAGTAGCTTACAAGGTCTAAACCTCCAGCATCTTGTTTTATACCTAATAGTCCTTTTTTGGCATAGTCAAGAATTATGGTATGCACACATTTAGAGAATTTAGTATCTTTAATTGGCATTTCTAAAAATAGTTTTATTTGTAGTCATTTTTTTCAATTTCCTAAAAATATTTTATTCCAGCTATATGGTTCTAATGTAATATTCATCTCTGTGTTTGCTCTTGCTGCTGACGATGCTCAGTACTAGCATTTGGAGCTGGCAAGTCAGTAAATTCTATTGTTCTTCACTCCTGTAGCAGCAGTAGCTCACTGCACCTTCTTAAAGACCTGCTTACATGTGACTCCACAAACTCTTATTTCCTAGGAAGAGAAAATAATTAGAAACCACAATTTTTACTTACGACACAAACATTATAGATTTGTGTGTACGTCCAGCTGAATTTGAATTCACGATTTTCTATTAAATTAAAATGAGAGGCTTGTACATATTTTAGCCTATTTTTCATCCTAAAAGAAAACATTGGGGTTTGGGTTTGTTTCCTATTAAAAGGTGGAGCAAGGGAAGTGATTTTGGGATCTCGGATCTTAAAGGGCCAAATACGTTCCTGGTGCATCATTCTTGATTTGCAGTGAATAATAGGCAACTGCTTTAGGCCTTTGGAATGGGCATTATCTGTTTCGGATACATAAAGCAGTGGGGATGGATTTGCCTCGCCAGCTCTAAATCTGTGTGGTGACAACTGGTAGCTCAAGCTGCAAATTCAGAAATCAGGGTCACTTCAGCAACACAGAGCTCCTGGCTACCAAAGGCAGGTGACTGTACAGATTTGCTCCAGGCCTGTCAACCAGCAGAGCACTGAGGGTTTGCCTGAGAACCCTGGATGCATAAAGCTGATTCTTTGAGTTCCACAGGAGCTTTGGAAACCCCCTTGATGATCTCTGCACCTCTGTGAGCTGGGCATGAGTAGGGGCAGAGTTCCCATCCTGGGCTGGGATTTGTGAGGCTGCTGCTGTTTGCCTGTTCATTCCTGAAACTCCTCAAATTTAACCTGAGAAGTGCACACAGGTGTGTGCCTGGGGCATGTGTCTGTGGCAAGGTTTAGGTGCAAGAAAAAAGAGTGTGGAAGCTCTTAAGGTACATAAAGACTGTGCTCATGCATGACCTAGCAGAAGGGATACACTTCCCAGCTCAAGATGAGATTTTTAATAAAGCTCCCAGAATATTTTGATTAAGTTATGCACAATTCTTAGAGGGGACTTTGATAAAATGACTTTAAAAAACCTTAAACCAGGTCAATAATTTTAATTGACATATTTTGCTCGACCCCAATAAGAGAAAGTGCTTCATGTTGAGTTGGTGGAACAAGAGACTGATGCAGTGACTTTGGTTAGGACCTGTTCTGTTCACTCCAGAAGAAGGAGTGTGCAATAAGGGCTGAGAGATCTGCTGACAGTGACAAAAACTACAGAGCAGAAGCAATCAATACAATAGAAAAGGGCAATAAAACTCAAAAGGAAATGGGGAATGGTCAAATAAGTCACTCACATAAAATAAAATCTAAAAAGAACTAGAAAGTACAGACCACAGAATGAAATGAAGAAAATAGGGAGCGATAAACTACTAAAGGATGTGGTCCTACTTTCTGCAGAACTGTGAAAAGAATAAATTAACACTTGGCTCATTGTGTAAAGTTCAATAGGATCATAAAGCTATTGAAGTATCAATTCTTTAAATGTAACTATTCATTGTATTAAAGCTCTCTCAAAAGGACGGGACTTAGTATTCTTAGCTGGTCAAAAATAATATCCTAAAGGGACTCTATTGTACTATTAATGGAGAGAGCTGCATTAACAGGGATTAGAGAAATAAAGGGGACATCTTTTGAAATTAATTAAATAACAGAAGTGAGAAAATAGAAAGATCGAGGAGTGCGCTCTAAAATACTTGGTTACTTCCTTTGCATTAATTAATTTTGTACTGACTTCTGCATACATGGGATTGTGGTAAATTTTCCAAGTGCCAATGAGTGAATGCATGAACTTGCAGGTATGATCCAGAATTCCTCCCAGCCTTCTCAAAAGGAACATCAGAGCAATCAGGTTACTCTGGGCTACCTAAACTGGCTCTAGACACAAGTATTTGAGCAACAGATTCTGAAGTTCTGACTTCCAAAATCAACCTCCTGACAAGTCTATAAAGTGGTCTGGGCATGGAGGTCCAGGGCCAGGCTGTATGGCTAGAGCAGGAATCAGAATAAGGACAGCAGAAACCAGGGCTGAAGGAATTGGTGCTGGGGACAGGAGGTGGGAAGAGATAATGCCTGGTAGCTAGCAAAGGCCAGAAAGCAGGATGCCAGTCCAGAGAAGTCCAGGAGCAGCTGGTGCCATTGTTTCTGTGCAAGGGGAAGGCACAGATGTGCAGGACTGAGGGCAGCCAGGTGTGAGCTGAACTTGGGGCCAGGCACTGTGCTGGGCAGCTGGACCTGTCTGCCAGCAGAGGAGATGTAAGGGCTGTGCCTGCTGCCATGGCCCTGCCTGCTGGTGCAGCTGGGAGGAGTGTGGAAACACTCACTGGTGCTTCTTGGAGGGAATGTGCCTGCACAGGGAATTTGGGCATCTCCTTTTCCTGCTGCCTCCCCTCTTTCAGGTGAGCCCATGGCCTCAGCTATGAAGTCCTCATTTACACAGCAGGCAGGGCCATGGCAGCAGGCACAGCCCTTACAGCTCCTCTGCTGGCAGACAACTGCATTCTAGAACCACCAATACTTCCCCAAAATTATGTTTAGTAATAAGGTGCTTGGGGTACTTCTGCAAAGATTTGATAACTCTGCTACTGATTTGAACATTTAGAAGATATCCATTTAGACTGCTGAATGCTAACAGCACTGCACAGTGAACAGAAATCGAGGTTGGAGTTTATTATCCCAGCAGGAGCACTGCCTTTTACCCACGCTGATGAGAGAGCGAGGATGCTATAAAGAGTTATAGGACAAAAGAACACATATCTTCTTTCAGGTCCTGTTAATTTAGAAAGATAAAAATGATGATCTGAAAAAAATCATCAATTTCAAAAGCTTAATTGCTGATTTAGTTCTCTAGGCTATAATGTAGTGTGGCCTACAATTATTTTAAAAGAACAATTTTGTAATTTTCCCTTATTTGTGGGTGCTCAGTTTCACAGCTCCCATACTGAGCATTTTACAGACTGTGAGGGACATTCTGATAAATGTCTTCCTCGTGTGAACATTTCAGCCTAGTTGAGTCTGGACAGGCACTGAGCATAGAAATAGCATTCAAAATGGTCAGGCTTTGAAAGAGACATAAAAACATAATGGGTCCAAATGAAATTGTTGCTTTAGAAACAAGTCAAATGCTGCACCAATACCCAATTATGTCAAAGTAAGCCAAAACGACATAGCAGATTCCCTGCTGTGTTATATCTAGCTATTTGAATGGAGGGGCATTCAAAACCTCTTACATGATCTTACCAAGTGCATTTCATCTCCTTCAATCCACTGGGTCCAGCCACGGCCTTCCTTCTCTCCATTCTGTACACAGAGCAGCTTATCTCCATCCCAAGACACAGTAGTCTAACAAAACAGACATGTTTGGTATTACTGTAATATTCTCTGATATTATGATTAGTTTCTGTGAAGCAAAACTTATCTCTAATGATGAGTGTGTCTCATAAAAAGTATGATTGGATAGTGTTGTACCACTTAGGATAATTACCAAAGAAATGAGCTTGAACAGAAAGTTGCTGCTCAAATGCCAGCCAAAAACTGGAGGGATGAGATAAAGCAAGAAAAAATACCATCAAAACCATTGTGTAAGAACACATTCCTCTCTCCCTGCTGAAAAATGCAGCAGCAGAAGGGCCCTTCAGCCTAACACTGTATTTTCAAAAGGAGCTGAAAACTTAAGATTCAGTTTGGTTATTTCCACCCTAAGAATGATTCCCCAGCTGCACTACCTGAGAACAATTCCCATTTCCTGTGGATGAAAAAAGCTTTTGAATACTGAGCTGGCTTTTCTTCATGTCTCAATCTGCCTTCCTTCACCCAGCAGAGTGGTTTGGAAGAGTCACAAATTTGGTGGCTTTGGCAGCATCCCGCCTCTTGCAACTGAGGCTGGGGAACTTCTCGAGCCAGGACTGGCAGAGTAAGTCAAGAGTCAGGTGCAGTAATGAATCCTGCACTTCTGTGAATATTGCTGCTGTCCTGAGGATTTCAGGAAAGCCTGATTCATAAAACTCCCTCATGGTATCACAGTGCATCCTGCAGCCTGTTCCTCTGGTCAGCATTTACAGACAATTTGCCTTTCCCATCTCCCTAAGACAAAGAGAAGCAGTGCTCTGTAATACACTTAAAGAGGGAAGAGTGGTGACAGTTTGTGCTCCATGAGGATAGTTTAACATTAATATTAGCATATGGCCTTCAGCTTGTTTGAAGGCACTGTGAGGACTAAATACGGAATTGCTGTCTACCTTGTAAAAGTCTTCAGCCACTGCTTGCATGAGCAGTCAGATATGGAGAGATGAAGAATTCTGATCTGTCATTAAAGGAAAATTCCTGCATCCATCTTGTAGTTCCTAAGAGAAGAAATCAGCCTACATTCTTCCTTCTGGTAATTAAACCCAGTTCAACACTGAAAACCTATCCAGACGTATTAATTTAATCTGTGTATGTCACAAACAATTAATTCTTAAATAATAACCATGGCAGCCACTATCTTTGAATGAGTGCAGGCAGCAGCCTCCTCCTGTGGGAAGCTTTAGACTAAACCAGCATGGAAAATGAGTCACTCCAGAGTGCCAGGATAGATAATCATGGGCAAGGCAATGGGATTGATCCCATCAGTCTGTCTGCACCACATGGGGGCTCTGAGAAACAAACTCCCATGTCCTTGCTAAAAATCTCTCTAATTTAGGAAATGCATTCACAAATTCTTCTGTTCTCTTTTGTAAAGTGATATATTTAAACCAAGCAGTAGATAACATTTTATGAAACCATATCCTTCTAATGCAAAAAATGCTAATGCAGGAAGGAACAACACATTTGGGTAAAACTGTAGTTAATGTGGTCACCATAACCTAAATCCTCTCTCATATCTCAATCTGTACACACCCACTGAAAAGACAGAAGATAACAAATAATAGGAGTCAAAGTGAATAACGTGTAAATTAAAGTTAACATATCTACAAACTTCTGATTCTAAAAAATGAATGCAACAGACAATGAATGATGTGAATTCAGAGGCAAAACACCATGATAAAATAGAATCCAACTTCATTGGTCCCACTAATGTTCAAATCAGTTGTGAGTGTTACCCTGACTTAGTACACTTGGGGGACATAGAGAAATATTTGTAACAGCACAAAGAAATGTTAACTTTTAGTCTCCAAGGGTGTTTGAAATTGATTCATCTCAGAAAATAACACACTTTTTTCCTCAGGATTTTTTTTTTTTTTGCTTTTCCAGTCAAGATTAGAAATTGCTTTTTGCAATTTGGTGATAACCACAAAGAGTCTAAACCCACAGACATTAACCAAGCTGTCTTATCAGACAATATTCTCAGGTATCCTCTGCCTTCCCTTTGAGAAATATATAATACTGAGGGGATATGAGTAAACCGCACAATTCCTGATTTCTGTATGTAGTTCTGAAGGTTATAAAGGGCAGAATACATTGCAAGAGAACATAATGTCATTTTCTTTGTTAGCAGGAACAACTACTTTATGATAGTAAGATTAATCAGTGGCATCTGTACCCTGTCTTTAGGTCAAACTGTAATGTCTCAATGTCACTTTTATTAAACTAATACACAAAAGACAAAATTCTCTTTTAACTCAGATTAAAACATGTCCTTCCATCTCAAATATCTCTACTGAGACACACAGAGAGTGTTAGCTGAGGTTGAAGTTGCTCCAGCTGTTAATGTGCACTGGCTGCTGCCAACATTCCACCCTCTGCAACACCTAAACCAGAGCAACACTTGCCTTACAACATTCCCAAATATTTGAATCAGAACATAAAAACAATACTCCAGAAATACTGTAGGGCAAACATTGTGTGAATTATCCCTCTTGCTGTATCAATGAGCAAGGATCTATTTTTGAGGCTGGATCAGTATATTGCCATGGTATAATCAGGAGCTTGCAGGCTGCTAGGGTAGCTCTGTGTGACCCTTTGGCTCTTCCTGTCACACACTCCCAAGATAAACAAACACTTCACCTTTTATGTAAAGCTACTTTTCTTAGCAAAGTATGCCTTTGTGAACAACCTTGTTTGCCCCCATTTTGGTAATAGCATTACCTAAGGGCTGCCTGATTACAGAGCTGCTGCCAGCTGCCCAGAAGGGCTGAAAATCCTCCTGGGCTGGGGGACACGGCAGCCCCGGCTGCTCCCACAGCTCCTGTCCTTCCCCTCCTCCCCAGCACGGCACAGCCAGGCAAACTCGGGGCACACTGCAGAGCTGCAGTTTCCAGTAACAGAACTAACAGCTGAAAATGGAGCATTTCTCTACAACGGAGCTTTGCCTTTCTGAGAACCTTGTACTACTTGATAATAAATGGAAGCTGTTGTTCATTCCTTTCCATAATACATTATCTAGTTCACCATGAGCAAGCTTGAATCTTGCTTACTTACCATCTGCTCATACTTAACCCTAAGATGACCACTTCCTAGGTCATGTGCATGGAATTCTGTAGGAAACTTCAACAGAGAATGGTGATGGGTACAATTAGTCAAGTTCTATCAATAATACTAAAGGAATGCCAGAAAAGGGGAAAGAGTGAGGTAAAAACTAGGGACTCTTGCCTCAATTTAACTCTTCCCAAAAAATCCAACCACCAATACTGCACATTTTTCAGATTATGTACACTTTGTTCTTGAGGTATAATACTAGAGAATGGAGCTCGTCTGGGAAGTGAAAAAGCCTTTGAAGCCTGAGTACATGAAAAAATGTTCAAATTTTATTTACTTTTACGGTATGGTTTCTGTAGTGTTTCACTTTTTGTGTACTTTGATATTTTCCTTTTATTACTTGGGCATCCACATACCTTTGTTAGTGATTTAATCTCTTTGTGTTATGAAGTTTTAAATTCATATACATAGCACCACCTCAATATTCCTGAATATTAAAGTTGGAGGAAACAATAATTAAAGTATTCTCATTACTGTTTCCATTTATGAGACAAGGTAGATTTATTAAATGAAATATTTAGTAACCCCTAAACAAATTCTTTACTACATATCTGTTTTTTCTTTAGTAGCAGCAACTGTAGTGAAATGTTGCACAACTTCAGGTTTGAGTGGCAAATTATCCTGATACACTGGCAGAGACAGTGACTTTTGTAATTTACTGAAATAGTCATCAAACATGTTATCAGAGTACTTTGCATTTCCCAGTGAGGTCTAAGTGCAAAGACATTTGGTGCTGGCTCTGCTCAGTATTTCTCATTTTCCTGCTGGCAATTCCTGTGTGCCTGCTTGGGTCAGAGGCTCAGCAGCTGAGGGCACAGAATGGATTTTACAGATGAATGGGAAAAAAACTTCTACCCAAGTAGTTCATGAATATTTTTTGTTAATGCTACATAGATTTTTGACACATTGACTTTACAAGTATGAATTGCAGCTCCTACCTTTCATCAAAAATATGTTATTGATTTCCTATCTGTAGCACAAACACAGCAGCATCAGTTTTGTTTTTCTCCTGCTTTCCTCAATGTTGTCTCTATATATGGAACACCAAATGACTGCAAAGCTAGGCATGCACCACACTCCATGCTCCATCTTCAGCCAGTAAGCCTCTGCTTGGGAGAATGACAGCATATTTTACAACTGTAATTATGATCTAAGAAGGATTAAAAAAATGGACAGTAAAGTTTTTTAGGTCAGATGAAACAGAAAAATCCAATTTGAGCTGTGTCTTGTAAATAACACCAAAGAAAATATCCTAGAACTTTTCGTCAAACACAGCAAGATAAACCATTCTCAAGATAAACCATTTCATCTGTACTAAGTATCAAAGGGATATAAAAACCTCTTATAAACAGCTTTTTTGAGGAAAAAATGAAATGTTGATAGAATAAACTCATGTTGATGCCCCAGACAAAGTCCAGTGTAGCTGTGAGAGGGAATTCTGCCAGGTGGTCACTCCCTATGGCCTCTGTGCAGGAGGCTGCTCCAGGGGCTACAGCAATGGGCAGCTTTGTCACCTCCCCGTGAAACCCCTTTTATCTCATCACATCTGCATCTGGAAGTTCAGCAGCAGAAACTACTGAGAAAACAACAAGAAACCCAACAGAACAATTCCTGGCCTTTATCTCCAGACCATGGTGCTGGCCAAAGGCTGAACCTATTTAGCCACGCTGTAGCCCAGTCATGGCAAAGTCTCCTTTGTTTCTGTCATTGTCAGCATCTCCAGGGGTAGCACTGCTAGAAAAGGGGCTTAGGACTGAAAAAACCTAGATGAAAAGTAAACTGTAGTCAGATCCTAAATGTTCCAATGCCTTGTTTTGAATCCTTGCTCATAAGATAAGCAAAGCAAAGCAATGTTCCAGAGAGTAGGAAAATGAAGGTGCAAAGCT